GGAATGACATGTCATAGAAATCCTCCCCCTAATAATAATAAGAATCATAGAAGAGTGAAGTTGGAAGGGGCCTACAAGGCCATCAAGTCCAACCGCCTGCTCAATGCAGGAATACAATCAAAGCATATCTGCCAGGTGATTAAATGACCTCCGGTCAGCCCTGATTTACAACAGAACAAACAAGCAAACAAAACAAACAAACCTCCCAAGGCTTTTATGACCTCCGGTCAGCTCTGATTTACAACAAAACAAACAAACCTCCCAAGGCTTTTTTAGGTTTTTGGTCTGTTTTGCTGTAAATCAGAACTGACCAAAGGGTCACCCAAGGTTTTTTAAGCATAAATTACTCATAAGTGGTTTACCAGTCCATTTTTCCAATGACACTTTGGGACTGTTCATGGCACAATAATCCCATCTGCCACCCATGTTCTGGATGATCTTGGCTAGTTTCCCTCGCAGGAGGCACGGTGGTGTTCATGCTCCAGGCCCTTGGCTGGTGCATCAGCCCCCTAACCTACTACCAGCACTTTAGTTGTGGGGCAGCCCTATCCTTATGACAAGCAAATGAACTGAAGTTATCAGAGGCAGGTCACCCTAATACTGTGGTCTCCAACCTTGGGCTTCCAGATGTTCTTGGACTTCAACTCCCAGAAGCCTTCACCACCACCTCTGATGGCCAGGATTTCTGGGAGCTGAAGTCCAAGAACATCTGGAGACCCAAGGTTGGGGACCACTGCCCTAATACACCTAAGGTCAAGGCAGGCCTGTGATATGTAGTGTTTAAAGTGCTGCTCAGGAGATCTGGGTTCTAATGCCCATTTGGCCATGAAACATACTGGGTGACCCCTCTCTGGATCAACAGCAGGGATGTATATGTCATGAATAAATAAGGTCTTGAGTCTGATTCAGCCTGGCTGTCTTCATGTTCAGTACTGTATAGGTAATAACTCTGAGATGCATGGATTCAGAAAACATTAATAGCACAAGCTCTGTCAGAGTAGAACGGTCAACAAGGTGGTGGGTGCATGAATGGAAAGCGCTGGTCTAGGCAGCATATATTCAGCATTAAAGTCAAAAAGGCAAGAGCTAAGGTAAAAACAGACTCATACAAGGAACAACCAGAAAACCAAGGAAATCCCAAGGTACCAGCATAGTTTGGCCAGCAAACTCTTACAAGGGTCAAGGGCAGATATTGTCTACAGAAGAAAGAACAGAAAGGGAGCAATTACTGCGGACTGGGAGCCCAAGAAAAAACTCACTAGCTTGTGTCCTGGCTCATAGGAGCTACTTGGATGAGTTCAGGTCAGGTAAATTAGGTATTATCTAATAAAAATAAAAAATACTGTAACCAGGTGGTACTTTATTCTGTTCAGCTTTTTGAAGTGAGGACAGGATTGGGTTGTGTTTCCAAACAAAGCTTTAGACTGGCCAGTTTATAAAGATGTCCTGATGGGTTGCCTGGATAGGGAGACAGCTGGACAGAAGGGAAAGGACTGCCATTATCCAGGGTTATGTAAACTGGGGAGGACTAATTTGACAAACACAGTGACAGCTGACTTTCTAGAACAACGACGGGCAATTTTGGAAGGTCCAGGGGGCAAATTTCCCTTCCAGATTCACTGCCAACCACATAGTCTTGCCCTCCTCACTGTATAGCACCAGAAGGGGAGGGGGTTAACCCCTCATTTTACAACTACAATTGTACCAAAACAAGGTGCACGGGGCCATGCACTTTGGCTTCAAGGAGAACCATATCCCCCGGAGCATGATTCCATCTTCCACTCGGCTATGAAACTTGCTGGGATCTCTTTACCTGACCTACATCGTAGGGCTGTCGTGAGAATAAAGTGGGGAGCCCAAAAAGTGGGTACTCCAGAGGCCAGAAAAACACTTGCAGTGCTGATCCTCGATTTAGAACTTTCTCTTCCTGAGTGCGCCTGGCAGGAGCCCTGCTTTCACAGACTTCTGGAACTAAATGAATATTTTAATCAAGGTGATAGGATGGCGTCTGCAAAAATAAAAAAATGAATGTGGAAAAAGCCATAATGAATCATCTTCTCTGTACAGCGAAGTAAAAAAAAGTAAACAGAGAAAAAGGTCTTCGTGTGAAGTTTGATTAGGCTCACAGATCACAGGGTGTGAATGCATTAGTTTATAAATACAGTGGTGCCTCGCTAGACAATGATAATCCGTTCCACTGAAATAGCTTTTTAGCGAAATAATCGTCTAGCAAAAAGAAAATTGTCATCTAGCAAAAATCGGTTTGCGAAGCAGGGACCAAACATTGTCCAGCGAAATTCCCCCATAGGAATCACTGTTTTGCGAATCGCTATAGCAATCGCAAAAAGTCAATGTCTAGCGAAAAAACTCATGCGGGGTAACTGTCTAGCAAGGCACCACTGTACTGCACAAGACTTATAATCAAAAACAAGGCTGACAAGCAGCAGATTACATATATAATAAGCAGGGTGGATAAAAATAAATGATTTCTAAAATCAGAATGACTGAATGAAAACTAAACAGATTTTTTTGAAATTGTGATTAAAACTGATGTACTTTAAATCCATTCTGTCCTGATTTTTATTTATTTATTTATTTATTTTCAGAATGACTGAATGAACACTAATCAGATTTTTTTGAAATTGTGATTTAAATTGATGTACTTTAAATCCATTCTGTCCCGATAATATACAATATACCTACACATGCACAGAACTATGTACATGCAAATATATATACAGAAAATGCAAATTATACTTTAGAGTCTTTAGGCTGGAATGAATAACTGAATGCTATTAGAGAATATAATATAATAATCACTTAGATAATAAAAGCTTAGATCACCTGGCAGTTATGCTTTGATTGTATTCCTCCACTGAGCAGGGGGTTGGACTTGATGACCTTGTAGGCCCCTTCGAACTTCACTTTTCTATGATTCTATGATAAAGGAATGTCACTTAACCCCAACGAAAGTGATCATAGGCAGCAATGTGCTACACACATATTCTACTGTGCACAAAAGAACCCCTTCCCTTACAGAGAGTGGGGCCAGCTATAAGAGTCCTGAATACTTAATGTGCACTGCTATTCAGCAGTACATGCATAATGCCACAACACTGCAGATCCTTCTCCCACTTTGGGGATGGCTATATTTCCACACCTCAGCAGGGTGTGATTTTTTGTACCACTTATGGAAAAATAAATAGATGCCACAACACTGCAGATCCTTCCCCCACTTTGGGGATGGCTTTTTTTGTACCACTTATGGAAAAATAAATAACATTCAGATAACATTTATGCCATTCAAATGTTTACAGAAGCTTGCTTTTCTACATGTTTATCTCTTGTTGGCTTGGGTATTTATTAAGAACTTTATGCCACATGGTTCAAGGCAATGGTTTCACATAATGCAATGAGCCCAACAATATATTCAATGGAGGGGAGAAGATGTAATAAGCAACCTTTGAAAGCCTCAGGAAAGGCTCAGAATATGCTATTTTTGTAGCAGGAGGAATGGTAGGAGGAGGAATAACACCAATATCCTCACAAAGATGTTCAGCAATTTCATAAAATATATAGGCAAGATATCTTAGGTTCCCCTTCTCCCCAAAGGCAGTGGATGTACCAGAAAGCCTTGCATCACTCAAATACCCTCCTCAGTGGCCAGCTGCATGCTATGCAATTTTTTTAATACACACCAGTACACATGCCCTATGAATGGCAGAGACTATGCACATGTACGTCTTTAAACTTCCAAGTACCTATCTTTAGGAAAGCTGACAGAGCCCCAAGATACAGGTACAATATATCATCCTCCCTTAGCTTTTTTGCTAACACCGTCTAGCCCTGGCTACTATATTTTCTGTAGGAAGCATCAACCTCCCCAGAGAGATGAGGGCACACTCTGTAGCAAACCCAGGTTTGTGTCTGTAAGTTGTTTCCAACACCCCCTGGTACATGGACCTTCTCCTATATTCTCAGGACATTTGCTTTTTGAACATCAGCAACAACTTAGCAAAATATCCTTTGGCATCCTTACAGACCCATTCATTACAGCGTAAATACTTGTAGACTAGACTTGTACACACACTAGTCTTGCCACCTGTTCCTTAATTCAAGGAACAGTTCCTCTCATATGAGACTTGTCTGTGAGATGCACTACAATTAAAACAACTTGGATTACAAGAATGACATAAAATAACTCTGGGGCACACAACTTTTTAAAACTGACTCACAGCTGTTTCTTATTTTGGAGTTTGCAGAACTGTCCAAAAACAATTTGCTGTCTGTCCTGGAGTAATAAGAACAAATGGCTGGCATGCCTCTTCTCCACCCAGTATACCAAGGTGTAGAGTGCTTTATACCTGCCAAAGTTATTTTGTCAGAGAAGGCAGGAAGTTCCTCAATTATCTCTCCCCAACTTTTGCAGGAAAATGTATAATAACCAAATAACCAATAATTTGCTGCCCCTTCATCAAACTCAAAATTAGCGGCTTCATTCTGGATACTGACAGGGCTGCCCTTATTTATTTTATTTATTTGATTTGATTTGTATCCCGCCCATCTGGTCTATACGACCACTCTGAGCGGCTTCCAATATAATACAATCAATTAATAAAAACACCGTCTTCAGTCCTAAGATGCTAGCCTTCCCCAACCCGCTGACTCTCCCGACTTTTTTAGACTACAGCTTCCAACACTCCCAGTCAACATAGCCAAGGTTCAGGGATGATGGGAGTTGTAGTTAAAAAAAAAAAAAGACTGGGAAGCCTCAGCTTGCAGAAACAGACTTCGCCGCTATCCTCATCATCATGCGCGCGCACACACCACCAACAGCCCCCCCCCGGGAACAGAGGACCCCCTACCTGGGAGTAAACCCAAGTCAATGTAGGTGGAAGCAAGAGTTACTTGATCGCGATCAAAGAAGAAAAGATTGGCGCGCTCTTCCTGCCAGTCTCCCCTCATTGGAGACAAACTCCTCGAAGTGCATCCTCGCTTACCTTCCTCCGAGGGAGCCGAGAGGAGGGGGCGACCGGCAAGCGCTCTCGGCGGGCGCCTCCTTGCCGCCTCCTCCCGCTTCGGGGGCGGCCCCCCCACCCGCAGCCAGCCCGGCGCTCCTTCTTCTCTCCCGACGCATTGCCGGCAAGTTCAGCCACAGGGGAGGCAAGAGCGCGCAAGGGTTCCGCGGCCGGGCGCGCGAGGGGGGGGGAAAGAGGAAAGAGGGGGGGAAGCAATGGCCAGGAGGACCAATCCGCTCCTAGAGAGGGCGTGGCCTGGGAGAGAGCCCGCCAGGGGAGGCGAGCGTGGCTTCGTTTCCATGACAGCCCGCCGTGGGGGGGAAACCCGCCGAGATGTGGCCGAGAGAGGGGCTGCTTTCCCCGCGTCCTTGTCTGCCCGCCCTACTCATTGGGGAGAGCGCTAGTATCCATTCCCCTGTACTGTATACACTTGTATTTAGAGGGAATTCCCATTCCCGGGATGGCCAGAACGGCGGTCACAGCCTCTGGTCAACCTGGACTCTTCAGATAATGTTGTCCTAATACGGCCAAAGTGGATGGAAGTTTTAATTTTAATTGTATTTTAATCATTTTATCTTTTATTGTATTTTAATTGAATTTTAATTGTTGTAAGCCGCCCAGAGGCCTTTGGGTAGAGTGGGTGGCATATAAGTTAAATAAATAAATAAAATAAGTTGTAGTTGTTACAGTAGTTATAAATCCCTCTGTTGCTGTTGTTGTTGTTGTTGTTACTAAAGATGCTATGGCTAATGCTTTTTTGGAATGCCAGGTCTCTTGTTGTATGGGTTATTGTGCCTGGTTATTCATTGGGGAAAGCAGATTAATATTATTAGTTCTTAACAGTGTTTTTATGCTGCTCACTTACAAAGATCTCTGGATGGACTGCAAATGCTACAATATAATAAAATACAACTGTATGCTAGTTTTCCTGGAAAAGCAATCAAAGTTAAGAAACTAAGCTTCTCTCCGTATCACAACTGGGTACAGACACCCATCTCTGTGGGAAACACACTCTTGTTTGCATTCAGAGATTCTAGGACAGCTTTTCTTGGCCTGGGTTGCTCTAGAGGTTTTGCAATAGCAGCAGTTCGAGCCAACATAGCAATATTCAGGGATAATGGGTACTGTAGTTTAAAATCTCTGGGGGGCCCAGAGAGAGAAAGGCATTTCCAATATCATTTCTCACACACCAGGGTTGAACCCTGGAAAACAGAAGGGTAGAGGAGAAAGAATAGGTGGCACATACCAGGGTTTAACAAGTTGAACCTAATTTTCCCTGATCCAAAGACCTGTTTATATCTAGGTAAAGGTTAAGCAGGAAATATTGATTTTAACAGTCAATAAACATACCTGAAGCAGCATTACATGCAAAACAATTTAAAGGATCTTTTCCCTGTTCAAGCATTGCTATTTCTACCAGTAAACCATGGACAGCTCCTTTCAATGCATCCTTTTGTAAAACATACGTGAACATGAAGAGGTTTATGTTATGAACCATAAAGTGTGAACTGGTACCATGAAGAGGTTTATGTTATGAACCATAAAGTCAGAACCAACTTACAGAGACCCTAATAGAGTTTTCAAATCAAGTGAGATATTTAATGAGTTATTTTACTAGTTCCAACATTCCTCCCCATGAATTTCCATGGCTGAGCAGGGATTGAAACACAGGTCACATGAGTCCTAGTCCACCACCATCCACTACATCAACCATTCTCAACAGGGGCCATATGGTCCTCCGGGAGGGTTGGCACATTTGAACGGGGCCACAGACTGAAACCAATTCTTCACACACCACCTTATAAAGTTTTTATGCAATTTACCGGTATATAACCCTAATTTGGCCCACATTTCTTTCATATTCTGCTTATGGCCATGGCCAAAAAAAGGGGTTGAGAATGGCTGCACTACACCATACTGGTAAACGGCAGCCCATGAAAATACTCTGTTCCATATCCAACAGGCAGGGTGTGTCTGCATCTGTGTGTCTGGTGTGTGTGGGGATTAAAGATTAGGGCCAGTATTCAGTTGTATTACACAATCATCTAAGCATTCCCTATGTTCCAGCAGGCTCCTTACAGCATACACAGTATCACACTGGTTGCACATCCATTGTATGTGTGACTACAAAACAGGAGGTCTCCAAAAGCAGGGGAAAGCTTACACAAATTCAGGAACAGGATACTAGTCCAGGACTAAGGAGATATAGATGTAAAATCCTTACCTATCCATGACTGATCCGTGACTGAGTCAATCACAGGTTCATGTACTTCAGAGAATTGTTTCAATTTTTTTATCCAGTTGGTAAAGAACTCTTATACCATCTTAATCTCTGTGGCTCTCCCCTTCCCTTTCTCTCATTGACTACTCTGTCTTTTCTCCTCCGTGGCTATTCTTTGTGCATATACTTTTTTTTCTTCAGCTATTCACTCCTGCAGTAAGGCTGAATCCCAATACAGTATACTGTTTCCCCCCAAAGTATCCACCTCAGTAACTCACTAGTTTCCTAAAGTTCTGGCAAGATGTGTGGGCACTTGTTACGTAATACTTCAATAAGCATATGCAGCCAGAGTTTATGAACATTTTCCTATGTAAAACAAGTGTCCTTCAGGCCTTGTATCTTCTAAACAACAGGGCAGATCAACTTCAAATTAAAAACAGCTTGCAGCAGGAATAATTTCCTTTTTAGGAAGCAGTAGTAAGCATTAGGAAAATAACTATTGAATTAGCTTAACAGCAAAAACAATGGTAGCAAAACAAAATCACAGTGTGTGTGATTAGGAAGGTTTTTTGAAAACGTAAGTTAAAACTTTAACATTACTTGTCCAACTTTCTCCAAATGTTCAGAACAACACTCCTGTGAACCTTTGATTTTATAGTCAACAGTGGCTTATTGGAGATGTCCATGCCTAGAGCTGTTCAATTCATCATTTTCAAATATTTTGAAACCACTTTACCCTTTTCCGTAACAAATTGGTGATTATTCTCAAGATTTAGGTGAGCTTAAAATACAAAATGGCACATCCCTAGAATACATATTTTGGACCAGAATTAGTGGTGGTGGTACTGTCCTGTCAAGTTGTGCTCAACGTATGGCAACCTCATGAATGAGCAATCTCCAAAATGTCATCCTCAACAGCCCTGCTCAGCTCTTGCAAACTCAAGCCTCTGGCTTCCTTTAGGAAGTCAATCTATCTTGTATTCAGTCTTCCACTTTTCCTGCTGCCTTCCACCTTCACCAGCATTGTCGTTTTTTTCCCAGAGAATCTTGTCTTCTCATGATGGTTTTTTTCCAGAGAATGTCTTCTCATGATGTGCCTGAAGTAGGACAACCTCAGTTTCAATATTTTTGCCTCCTGACAGTTCAGGCTTGATTTGGACTAGGACCCACATCTTTAGCTCTCCTCCAGCGCCATATTTCGAATTAATATTTTTTTTTCTTGTTGGCTTTCTTTACTGTCCAGCTTTTCACACCCATACGTGGTGACTGGAAATTGATAATGTGGATTATCTTTGTCTCCAGTGGTAAATACCCTTTATGATCTTTTCTAGTTCTTTCTTTGCTACCTTTCTGGGTCTCAGTTTTCTGATTTTTTGGCTAGTCTCCATTTGGATCGATGATTGACCCAAGGGACACAAAATCTTTCAATATTTTAATGTCTTTGTTGTTAATATTAAAGCTGTGTAGTTCTTCTGTAGTCATGATTGTTGTCTTCTTAATGTTCAACTGTAATCCTGCTTTGTCACTTTCTTATTTCACTTTCCAATGGTCCTGCACTCCTTGACATCTCCTTTCTTGGGAATTGAAATGCATATTGAACATTTCTATCTAAACCATTGTTACCTACAAGACCAATTGATCCTTAGTCTGGTTTTCCACATATACCTGTATATAGATTGAACAGAGAACGGAATAAAATGCGCCCTTATCTAACAGCTTTGCCCATAGGAAACCATTCTGTCTCTCCATAATCTGTCCTAACAGTAGCTTCTTGTTCACAATCAAGTGCTAAGGCATACCCATTTCTTTCAAAACAATCTATAGTTTCTTATGATGTCTCCAGGGGTAAATACCCTTTATGATCTTTTCTAGTTCTTTCTTTGCTACCTTTCTGGGTCTCAGTTTTCTGATTTTTTGGCTAGTCTCCATTTGGATCGATGATTGACCCAAGGGATACAAAATCTTTCAATATTTTAATGTCTTTGTTGTTAATATTAAAGCTGTGTAGTTCTTCTGTAGTCATGATTGTTGTCTTCTTAATGTTCAACTGTAATCCTGCTTTGTCACTTTCTTATTTCACTTTCCAATGGTCCTGCACTCCTTGACATCCAGTAGCTTCTTGTTCACAATCAAGTGCTAAGGCATACCCATTTCTTTCAAAACAATCTATAGTTTCTTATGAACTACACAGTCAAAGACTCTGCTGTAGTCTATAAAGCACAGACTGATCTTCTTTTGAAACTTTTTGGTGCACTCCAGTAACCAGTGGATATCTGCAATATGATCTTCAGTACCTCTTCCTTCTTGAAATCCAATTTGAACTTCAGGCACTTCTTGCTCCATATAAAGTAAAAGCCTTTGTTGCAACACCTTGAGGATCACATTGTTTTCATGGAAAATTAAAATAATGGTCCTGCACTCCTTGACATCTCCTTTCTTGGGAATTGAAATGCATATTGAACATTTCTATCTAAACCATTGTTACCTACAAGACCAATTGATCCAGGGTCTAAAACTATCTACTGCACCAATGTATTGGGTCAATTGCATACAAATGCTTTGCGTTTTCATACCCTTTCATGGCATGGAACAAAACCCTGCCCATGATCATCTCAAGAGAGAAAACCTTCCTCTAGATTCATAACAGAAAAACATTTGAATGGGACACTTACTCCTGTGCCTCATATTTATGAGAATGAGGGCCTGGGGAAAAATATTAAACTCTAGTATTACAACTGCAGTAAAGAACTGAGCTGAGCTCATTTCCTGTGTAACACCTGAACTCTTGCCATGTGCCTTCTTAGTTAAGAAAGTTGTAGAATATGAAAGAAATAGGAATAAACATCCTAAAGTTATACATTGGACCCTTGACTTACAGACAGCTTGACTTACAGACTTTTTGACTTGAGAACCGCCTTCCAATACGGATTAAGTTCTCAAGTCAAGACCCCACTGTAACAGATTAATAAAAAAGCAAGATTAAATTGTAACATATTGGCTTGCACGGATATAGCTTCCTCCTTTCTCAGATACATTTGTATTGTGGTTTAGGCCTCCCAGCCCTAACTTTCTGAAAATGCTCCATGCTGTCCTCTACCTGCTTAAGTTATAAGCCATTGCTAGCAGAAGAGCTCAGTGGTTTAAGTCTCTGGCTGCAGAGCCAGCAGTTAGATGTTCGATCTCCCATTGTGTCTCCTTGGAGTAAAACCTGCCTGTGTAGCCTTGGACAAGCTGCCTAGTCCCATGCTACCTCCAGAAGAAAGGAATGACAAATCACTTCTGAGTACTCAATACCTAGAAAACCCCAGAAAGGGTTGCCATAAATCAGAATTGACTTGATCACATACAATTATTATTATTTTCCTGAATATGCAGTTCTTGATGCAGCACATCTAAGGTTATTAATTCTGCACAGTATTAACACCATTAAATACCACAAATCCTACTATGCTGGTGGAAAAATACGCTTCTGACTTTAATGGTAATCAAAGCAAAAGTCAGCCAGAGTCCTTAAAACAGTGCCAGACACAAAACTGCTTGTGGCAGAAGCTGGATTAAGTATAATGTTAAAGTAATTTCAGTGGCTTCTATACTATCTGTCCTTGTATCAGATCTGTGGTAAGATTTTGATATTTAAAATCCAATATCACAATCTACTTAAAATTAGAAAAAGTGCTACCTCATATTCTCTGTCTTTAATTCATACTGTTGTTGAAATAATACAACGCCTCTTTTAAAAAATGAAGAGAGAAAATCAGTATCATGTGCAACGAAGAGGAACTGACTGGGAAGCTACTGATTACAGGAATGCTGCACAGGAAACAGTAACGTACGCAGAAGATGGAAGCTATTGTTCAAATTTCAAGAGACCTTTCTTGAGCAGGACTAACTTCTGAATTAATGCTACAGAATGATCTTAACCATGAGGATATGCATTGCTGACTGTAGAGCCCCCTATAATGTGCCACATGGGATTAGCATTTCAGTTCCACTCAATAGCGTAAGAGCCTGGTTGGATGAGACCAGAGTCTCATAGACTGTCTTTTAGGAAAGAATGAGCTAAAATAGGAATTGAGCATTTCTGCCTTGTCTTTGTCATTGGTTATGTTTCTATCCTCACTAACTGAGCCACTATTTCTTTTTCAGTCTTTTGTTATGCACATAACTGAAAAATGCTTTTTAAGGTTTTTTTTAGCATCTCAAAGTCCCTAGCATACAAGTCTTCAGCTTGTATGTCAAGAAACCTAAAACCTGTAACATAAGGAGGTGTGTTCCCCAAAGGACTTGCCAAAACTCTTGAAGAGTATACAATATAGACTTTACACACAGGGACAAATTCAGGTTTAGGCAGTACAACATACGAAACAGTCCTAGGAACTGATATTACAGAAGAAACAAATACTGTACTAAATAAGAACTTGCGGTTGGTACTGTTTTATTGTCCAATAATACTGATTCAAATATTTACACTCCTACTTTTATAAATCCACAGTTCAAACACTCATACCTATGGCTTTTGATTTTTTTCCCATCTTTTAAACATAAGATCTTTCTGCAAAGGTCAAAAAGTTTAAATAATAAAACAGTAGCCTGATGCATTGAGTAGACACATTTACTTTGTATTTTAATGCATTTTTTAAAATATAAAATGTACCTTTTTTTCTAAAAAATAAAAATCTGGTGATAAGACGCCAGTGCAACCTTTCAGCCAACTCATATCCTGTTATAGATCAGCTGAAATTTTCCTATTGTAATTGGCCCTTTTGAAAAAACTGCCAGTGTTGAGTCTACTTCCTTTCCCCCATCTACATTTAATGGAAAACAAAACAAAACAACATGGTTGCTAACAACTGGAAGCAAAATTGCCAAGCACTATACAGCAATATCTACACAGTCTCTTCTGCATTAGCTCCATAAATATCTTAAAAGCTTTGTGGAAGTTTAATTACTTCAGCTGTGTGAAGGCACAAGGGATCCTCTTTTTTGTTTGCTTGCTGAAAGAAAACATAGCACAGCTTACCTGCATCCCAGTGAGTTTCTGGGCTTGGAGGACAGTGGTTAAACAACATAAATAGAAGAAAGACAGCAACTACTGCAAAATAGGAAAACAAAGGGGAATTACCTGTGGCTTCTAAGTAAATCACCCAACTGCTCTTAGAGAATCCATTATCTTGCTGGAACGTTGCCATTTTTAAACACTGAACTCATATTCGAACAGAAAACAGAACTTGTTTTAAAAGTTTCTCACAATGACAAACAGTATAGCCTAGTGGCACAGTCTAGAAAAACTCTATGGTTAAACTTCACACAAAGCTGTCTGTCTTCAGAACAGACTTCATTCAGTTAAACAAAAAGGGGGTTTCCTTTCCAGAAGTACAAGGACAGTTTAATCAAATATTCCCACTTTGGTCCATCCGTCCAGTTACCCAAGGCTATCAAACCAAGAAAGCCATCCATTGGTGGGGTGCAAAAGTCAAATAAGAATGTTAACAAAAATAATTTGGTTTTCTTTTCTTTCTTTCCCCAAATCACAGATAATGAAGTCAGTATTTCCTAGGTCTCCACTTTTTCTTCTTGCATATCCAATATTGTCTGAGTTTTCAATACATCAGATTCCCCACAATCTGTTGCATGTGCCTCTGCCTCATCCAGCTGAGTGGACGCGTTGGCTTCTAGTTCTCCTTGATCCACATGTCCTGATTCTACTTGCTCCAGGACAGTTTCTTCTATAAGCTGTGCCTGAACCTCTTCCATATGCAACTGGTTTACATGTTCCACATCTATCTCCTCCATATGCACTTCTGTGCTTTGCTCAGTCTGAATGTGCTCTACTTCTAAGTAGCTAATCTCTACCTGCTCTGGGAGCTCTGCTATTTGCTCATTTTTTACTTGATTATTTGGTATCAAATCTGGATGCACCTGCTCAACAGTCACTTGTGCAGGATCCACCTGGACCTGAATTACAGGCAACACATGTACTTGTTCCACCTGCTCTATGATAGTCATGGACGCTACTGGATCACTGTCCACAGGAAGGATGTCCTCCGTTACTATTCGTTCAGAAATGTTGTGCATTTCTTGCAAGTGCCTCCGCAGTTCACTGCCTTGCATAAACCACACATCGCACAAGGTACAGTGGTTGGGCTTGTCGCCTGTGTGTATTACCAAATGGTCCTTGAATTGATCCCAGCTGTTAAATACACTGTTACAGACCTAAAAGAAACACATAAAACCTTTAGAAATACGGACCAAAGTTCAGTATACATCTCTCGATCATTGTTTTCAGTCTGTTTTGTGTCCTTAAAACCCTAGGTGGTCACAAAACTAGTTCTCAAACACTAAGTGTCCATTAACCTACCTGTCTGGTTAGCTAAAAACCAGATGATGCCTAACAGACAGCAGTTATGGTTGCCCATTCCAAATCTATGTGCACTACACCACAAACCTTCATCTAACACAGAAATGGCAACTATATGACTCTCTAACACTGCTGTATTGCAACGGCCATCATCTTACACATAGCTTACTCTGTGTACAGCTGATAGGTATGGTTCATCAATGGCTAAAATGCTACACGGCTCCCATCCCTGTTGTAGATTATCTCCAATGAAAGACAGAATTATGGATGCATATTTGATTTTCTGCACTGGTATTGCAGGCAAGACTAACATCTCTACCTTGGTTGGTAATTATATTCTTCTCTTATAACATTCTCACCTTCCACCAGATATTCCAAAGGTAGTTCTGCCCATATGAACTGTGAAGACCACTGAGTCTGAAGCCTTTGCAATGCCCTCCTAAGGGATGCTCATATAGTGGCTATGTTTTCTATCTGGGGCTAGGTGAATAGCGTTTTTCTAATCCAAAGCTTAGTATCCTACCACCTAAACATGGAGCAGAAATAAAATCACATCAGTGCCCTCTCAAGCTTTGGCAGGCTTCTCAATATGTGTCTGTTCTCTTACTGGTTGTGAGATCAGTCATGCAACACTTTGGTCATAAAACAAAAGAAACATATGCACAACTGTCTTCCACTCCAAGATATTGACCAAAGCATTTAAAGTTTTCTAGGCAAGTGGGGATGGGGGAGGGGGAGGGAAGCAGAGTATAATGAGATAATAAATTAAATCCACAGATATTATTCTGTTTCTATTTGCTGGTTATGTTAATTATGTGGCTTTCTAAAAATGTTTTCACTTTATAAGCTACCTTGGAACCAAATCTGGTGAAGTGTGTTAAACAGACTGTAAAATAAAGAAAAATAAATACTAACATGGTTTGGAAAAATGTCTACAAATGTTATTATAGCTCTGCATGCAATGTTTAAGTGCTGAAGCTGTCTGGCTAAATATATTATATCTCTGATCTGCAATCTGTCAGGATCTGCTTCCACTTGATAGATAACATGACGTTTTTGAGTTCACTCGGAGCCCTATGGATGTTCCTCACAGTCAAGGAGATACTTGACTGGTCGATTAATGACAAACATCTTTATCCTGATGAGGACACTGGCAGACAAGTCTCTGTGACCTGCACAACCAGGATCACTACAGAAAGGCTTTAAAAGGTGTTCTACAGTTCTACAAAGGGTTTATTTGATCATTATTCTACCTGATAGTAGGAGCAGAAGGCTAAACAGTTCTATCTCCTCCCTATTTATTTCCAAGGCAAAAAGAGCAGTGGAGCAAGTTATCTACAGTACTCATTCTGTCTCAAATACTTCAACAGGAATGTATCAGACAACCCTCCACCAAAATAAATACCAAATTAAAAAACAAAACATTGTAGCACCTTAAAGACCATTATATTTTAATGTGAACTTTAATGGATACATCCACTTCTTAAAATAAACCAAAACATTGTAGCACCTTCAAGACCATTATATTTTAATGTAAACTTTAATGGATACATCCACTTCTTAGTCCTTTTTGTTTGTCTTTTTTGGGTTCCCCCCATATGCTTGCATAGATTCACATAGTTACTTCCTTTAATTAATATTATTTATAATAAGTGAGACTGGTGCTTATCTAGCTATAATGTTAAATAGAGCACAAATCTTTTCACCACCTCCAAGAAAGGTAAAGATCTGGAATGATCTGCTATCTTTCACTCCCTTAACCAGACATAAGGGCATTTCAATATACTGTGCTGCCTTCCATGATGTCACTCTATATATTAATACTGATACATCAATATCAGTCACAGTATGGTATTCAAGCTTTTTCTTTCACAGGACACCAACTAAAAGTCACACATGTCTTTTCCTTCATTACATACCTGACATTCATAAAGTTTTTTCCGTCCCTTTTTAGCACCAGCACCAGACTGACACGCTGTCAAGTGACATTTGAGTGTGCTGTTCCGAGCAAAGCGTTCGTGGCAGTTTGAGCACTCAAATGGTTTTTCACCTATCAAGGCAAAGACAGGCATTTATGGAACAGGAAGATCAAGTCATTTCCATTGCAACTTAAGTGGAATTACACAGCTTCCCCATTCACTGAATCTCATGTCCAGGTATCGCAAAAATACAAGAGTGAGAGTTTAGTTTAAGGGCTAGTTTGGAGGGTCAGATCAGGTTTATCCAAGTCAGCACTCCCATCTCCTGACATTAGTCTTCTAGACTGCTTCACTCAAGAACAACCCAATAGCTATGATTATTAATTCATCAGTAAAAACAAACATTCCTTCTTGGCTTTCTTCTCAGCCAGTGAGTAAACTATATATAACTATCCACTTTTACAGTCGGGTTTTGTGCAAGTTTAGTCAGAAGCATGCATATGGAGATAAGATGGCACAGAATGCAAATTCCAGTGTGCTTGATCATAGGCAAAGTGTGCAAAATTATGACACCAGCCATGTTGACAACCCTCTGGTATACTGGTTACACTGTAGTACTGCAGTTAAGACTCCTACTCACAACTAGACATGGAGGTATGCATATTCGTGTATGAATACAAATACCGCTGCACAGGTGGAGATAACAAGGGTGGAGATAACAAGAGTGGAGATATCCACTCACCCTTCCACTGCTGCTGAACACAAGGCTAAATAGTTCTATCTGCTTCCTACTTATTTCCAAAGCAAAAAGAGCAGTGGAGCAGGTTATTTACCCGTTCTGTCTCAAATACTTCAACAGAAATGTTTACCCTTGCTATGTCCACCTATGCAGGGATATTCGTATTCATTTATGAATATCCTCATCTCTACTCACAGCCTGAGTTTGATCCTGGGCTCTGGTAGCTGGCTCAGGGTTCTCAGCCTTCCATCCTTTTCAAACTGGTTGATTACCCAGTTTGTTGTCTATTTGTGTGTAGTCTGCATAATTAAATTGTAAACTGCCCAGAGAGTGCTTTAAGCACTATGGTGGTATATAAGCAGCACACTTTGCTTTGCTGGTCAGTATCCTGATCATCAGCTTCTTATAGCAAAATTCAAGCTTAAACTGAAGAAAGTAGGAAAAACCACTGGGCTAGTCAGGTATGTTGTTGTTTAGTCGTTTAGTCGTGTCTGACTGTTTGTGCCCCCATGGACCAGAGCACGCCAGGCCCTCCTGTCTTCCCCTGCCTCCCGGAGTTGGGTCAAATTCATGTTGGTAGCTTCAATGACACTGTCCAACCATCTCGTCCTCTGTCGTCCCCTTCTCCTCTTGCCTTCACACTTTCCCAACATCAGGGTCTTTTCCAGGGAGTCTTCTCTTCTCATGAGATGGCCCAGTCATTCTTCTATCAGCCAGCTTGACTTCAGGCTCAATCTCAGGGGGCATTTGCTGAAGCAAACTGACAAAAGTAGGGAAATGGCCACCAAACACTCACCCCAACCATTCTCTTCTGCCAAATGGCACCCACAGTCACTGGCTACCTTGCAAGGCAAACACTCTTTTTGGAGAACTCTAATATTCCCTTAGAACATGCAATCTCATCCTTACCATCATGGAACATGTATGCAGCATTTTAATATTAGAATCGTAGTATTGGAGAGCTGGAAGTAGTATCAAAGGTCTCCAGTCCAATTCTCAAATCTGCCTCCCCCCCTTCCTGAATACACATAACAATGTGGAGCATGATGTATGACTTAGGTTTACACAAGAATTCACCACCACAACAACCATGTCTTATACACATTCCCATTTATCCACCATGTGCCTCCTGGATCACCCAACAATGCTATGGCTAGAAAATGTGACCCTTATACCAGCATTAGAAAACTCCAAGCTCAAAAGAGCAGAGTAAACAACAGCATAATACAGTGGTGCCTCGCTTAGCGAGTGCTTCGCTATGCGATGAATTCGCATAGCGAGGGGGTCCGGGCCATCGCTGGAGCGTTCGCTCAGCGATGGCCCCTCTAGCGTTTTTTCGCTTTGCGATGATCGCTATGCAATTCGCTTAGCGATTTTCGCAGAACGAAGCGGGGAGAACAGCTGATCGGCGGTTCCAAAATGGCCGCCGGAAGGTCCGCGCCGCATTTTCGCGCCCTGCCCTCGCTTACTGAGGGCGCGAAAATAGCGGCGCTATGGAAAAACATCGCTTAACGGTGAGTTTTAAAGCCATAGGAACGCATTGAACGAAGTTCAATGCATTTCTATGGCTTTTTTATTCCCGTTTAGCGATGTTTTCGCATAGCGAAGGTTAATCCGGAACGGATTAACCTCGCTATGCGAGGCACCACTGTATAACAATACAATCAAGTCAATGCACATGCTGTTCAAGACATAGATGCTTACCATACTCAATGGAAAAACATTCTTAAAAGTTCCATATTCATTCCTGAAGTGTAAAAAATTAAGAGCTACCAAACTGTTTACTGTAAAAACTCTGGCATTCAACAGAGGAAATGGGCAACTGTTCTAACTGATACCAATGGAACAAGATGGCACTGGGAAACATATGAGCCCGATTCCCTGTAACTTGTTTCTGCTCATGCATGTTAAACTATGGATCTGGAAACACACCAACTGTGGAAAGCTAACAAGTCATTAAAAGCTAACCCACAACTAGAGGGAGAAAGTTGGTGTTAAACCACGGATCTGGAAACACACCAACTGTGGAGAGCTAACAAGTCATTAAAAGTGAACAGCTAACCCACAACTAGAGGGAGAAAGTTGTAGTTACCTGTGTGTTTTCGAAGGTGTTCTTTAAAATGTCCAAAGTGGTCGAACTGTTTGTCACAGTATTGGCAGACATGTATTTTTTTGCCAGGTCTTTGTTTCTTGTTGGCTCCACTTTCCTCTATGTGGTAGCAAGTAAGGTGCTGCTTCAATGCACTCTCCCGCAAGTACCTTTTGTTGCATAGGTCACACTTGTAACTTTCAGTGGAGTGTGTTTTCATATGTTCCTTAAAGTGGTAATATAATTTAAATGTGCGGTTGCATTTTTCACAGTGGAAAAGGTTGTTGACGTGCGAGAGTTGAAGTTCCATGATCTCAATGCCTTCCACTTGTTTGCCTGTTGGATCAGATATGCTGTCACACTCCTCCTGAATTTCATTTTTTCTCTCTCCATGGCGGAACTTGCTAGTGATATCTGCCAGAAGAGCCAAAGCAGAGTCATCCGATGTACCTGTAGTCTGTATATACTTTATGGACTGTTCAGCAGAAGCTACCTCATCGAGCGCTTCAATGTTGTTTTCATCCACGTCAATAGCTCCTTCTGCAATTTCTACCTCAATTTCAACAGGCTCAGATTCTGCACAGGGCAGTGTTTCTGTAATAACATTGGAGGTCTCTGCTATCTTCCTCTTTTTGGTGTTACTTTTATCTTGTGCCTGATTTGATTCAAGTGATGATGTATTTTCTTTGTTCCTGGAAAAAATTGGAAAGGACACAGTAAAGATTCAGACAACAGTGCAAACATGGCTACAGATACTGGGTTAAAATAAGTAGTTTAATGAAGACATAAAAATTAGAGCTATTTATAGAAATTTTTATTTCTCAAGAGACAGAAAGTGGACAATAATCCCATGGCCTTCTCCTGATGTTTAATTTTGGTTTCTCCATTGGGAAAGTTACACCTACACCAGCTCAAGTCTATAATATATAGAATTTTTATTGATACCAAATGCTAGATAGGCTTTCTTGGATCTCAGGCCTCCCTGGTGAATGGTATCATTTCTGGATACTAACCTTGCTAATATATTAGATGGAACATGAAGGGGAAAATTTTCAAACAACAGATATGTGATTTGGTGTTCCTCTCTGAATGGGCTGCTACACGTTTGACTAAGATGCCTGATAACCAACGTTTCCTCTGTCCTGCTGCACAGCAGCTTCGCTCCATGTGCACAGGGGTGGGTGGGGCTTCATTCAAAACAGGAAGTAAACAAACTGGCTGCTGGCTGCCTGCACACAACCCGCACAGAGAGCAGGACAAGCAGACATGCGTGCTGATTAGAGGGAACATTGCGAGTAACTGTATGAAAAACCCTGTTCTCTCTTCTTCAACAGATATTATATTTGTGAACAGATGACCAAATAGAATTGCAAATACTAATAAAGAACAGGTCCAGAATACATTTAATTTTGAGAGTATTATTTTGAAATAGCTGATTAAAATAATGTTCATAATTGTGCCTATTGACTTCTCTGGGCAAGACTTTTGAAGTTGTTAGTCCTGTTATTCAAAGTTTGCTAGATCAAATCAACTCCATAATCAATTCTTTATTTCCAGTCTCCCCCTTCATTATGCCTAATCTTTCCCCCCCTCTTTTTATTCCATTCATGCCTTTAGGCTTTTCTCTCTGCCACTTCTTTGCATAAGGAACAGTCTCGCTTTGTATCTCCCAATCTACATTCCTTTTTAAATTCCTGTCCAAAGAATGCACTATTCCTGCAAACTACGTTATTTGAAGTTCCTTCATCCATTTAGCGCTAGTTACACTTTGCTTCCTGAATCCCTGGACTGCAAAGGTGCAAATTAAAACTGTTTAGATCATCCTATTTGTATTTTCTAAATATGTCTTTATAAAAGTCCTCCATATCTCTCTGGCATTCTACAGATGAATAAGGCTTCACCATTCCTACCTTACCAAATAGTACTGTGCAGCCATAAGCTTGGTGCGCAGCTCTGTGCGCAGAGTGGGAATGACATCATCATCAAAAGTAAATTGTTGCTGATTAAAGGCTTGCTTTGATGATTTTGGGTGTGACTCATAAACAATGCAGCAAATGTGCATGCACCCCAAAATCACAAAAGGAAATCTTTAACCAGCAACAATTTGCTACTGCTGATGACAAAGTTCCCACTACACACAAAGAGCTGCACAACAGGATTTCAGCCTATGAATTAAAATCTGAATTTGTTACTTCAACTCATTAACTATATGATTGAAAAGACTGAAAAAAGCTAAGTGTCTACTTTACAAAATAACCTAAATATATTCAGTCTCCTCAATGAGACCTCTGTTGCTCTGTCTTTACTTACAGTGAAATCACATACCGTAAAATCATATACAGTGAAATCAAATAAGCCCTAGTATGATTTTTCAGGATGCTCGTAATATAAGCCCTACCCCAAAAATAAGCCCCCGTTTAAATGAAGCCCCACCCTCCACCCTTGTGCAGCAACCAGAAGATATCATGACTGTTTTTGAGTAAATACAGATTGTTGAACATGAAAAAAATAAAAAAATAAAACATCCCCTGAAAATAAGCCCTAATGAGTTTTTTGGAGCAAAAATTAATATAAGACCCTGTCTTATTTTCGGGGAAACACGGTAGTGCACCAAGGTAAATTAAGCATACACTTAAAGCAGAAATCACTCTCTTCCTCTCATGCAAACATACACATTTGAGAATGAGGGCTGTCTGTGGCCTCAAAGTGTCGCAAATCGAGATCTCATTGAGCAATAGATTTTAAAAAGTCCTTGGACTAAGGCAGTGATTCCAAATCCTGGGTAATCCAGATGATCTTGGACTGTAACTCTCAGAAACATCAGCCAGCACAGCTAGTGATAAAGACTTCTGAGAGCTGCAGGCCAAGAACACCTGCATTGCAAATGCACTAAAGCAAAGAAGAGTTCAGATTTGCTGGTGCTGCCCTGGTCAAGGTTGTGAACCACTGGACTAAAGCAAAGCAGAGTTCAGATTTGCTGGTGCTGCCCTGGTTATTTTTACCAGAAGTTGAAAACTCACCCAATGGACCCTGACAGAAAACATACTTGGATGTAACGAGTCAGAGAAACTTGTTTTGAGTATCAAGACTGAATACCAAAAAACATGGAACAAATCTGCATCTAAATATTAATACTTCTAGCATTCTGAAGATACTTTTCCGAAATACAGCCCTTTGAAAAAAGCACACTCACCTGATTTCAAGAGCTTTGATGGCTTCTAACATCTGAAGATACTCGGCTGCTTTCCAGACATCGTTCGCTTCTTCTTCCCCCTGGATCATTAGCTTAGCTGTGTATGTGAACTCAATTAAGTGACGAAATGCCATGTTACTTACGCCTGGAAATAAAGGACAAAATAAAACCTAATGCTAACTCTTACAATTTTGCTAACAAATATCTAGACATTTATTTCATTAAAGTTGTCTCACAGAATCAAGGTCACGTCCATTACGCCCAGCATTTTGCCTCCAATAATGACTAGCTAGAATATGGTGGTCTACGCCCAGTATGTGATAATCAATAGTTCCTAATCCCAGATTTGGTTAGCCTGCAATTTCCAAAGCCTCTGGTCGTTGTCTATGTCAACTCAGACTTCTAGAAGCTGATTTCCAACAACTTCTGAAAAACAAATTTGGAAACCATTGTGATAATCATTGATGTACAATCTCTGAGGAAAGAAGTTTGTATCCATCCAATTTATCGTATAACTTCCAAATCAATCATGCAGAAGAGGTGTAGGCTGGTGCGTCCTGTGAAATCTACTACTTGCTGGTATTTAAAACAGGAACAAATTTATTTTGAACTTAAAAATGAAGAATCTTTGTTCAGGAATACTTTAACAGTCATGGCAAAGTTAATCTTGGTCAAACAATTTTGAACACATGCTTCTGCTGAAGAAAATCAGACTCGCATGTTCTCTTATTGTAAAAGTGCCAGCCATCAGATGGTACAAAGTATTGCACCAGAACTTAACCACCATTCCATTACTGCACCACCATTTAATATGTGCTTATTCCCAAGCTCAGTACATTCTAAAATGTTTCAGAAAATTACAAGAAGATCCAGAATTCAACAACAATAAATCATATTCTACAGATAACAGAAAATTAATATAAGTTTAGTCTATATTCAGACTTGGCCCAGATTGAAAAATATAGCCTGCTTCTTTTTGTGGAAATGGTGAGGAATGAAAATGTCCCGTAGTTTGAGAAGCCCATATAGATGTCCATCACTAGTGTTATCACAACAGATTACTACAGTTTTGACTTCAGCAGTTCACTGGTCAGTGAAAGTTTCTGCAGAAACTGTTGCTTTTAATCCAGCATGATTGGACTAAATGTTTCAACTATAAATTATAAACCAATGGGAATCAAAACTACCTCTTAAACAACAGAACAAAAATAAAGGCGTCTCCACATATTCTAATAACTAGTGAGGCTGAAAATGCACGCACAATCATAACTGAGACATGATACCCAATACAAATTTCATGCCATAACTGAAACTAAACAATAAACTGGCCGATTCTGTTCCATAGCTTTAAAAGACACAAACCCAGACAAACGGGAGAAAAGACAGGAAAACGAAGGAAGCTTGCTACAACGTATTTCTATTCTAAAATGACAGCAGATCCTCTCTTCTTCAGACTACAAATACTCCCCGAAAATTCACAATGTTCCTTGGGAAGGGACCAACCGAATGTAACAACTAGATTTGATTCTATATGCCACTGTACATCTCTGGAATACATTCTGTATTTATTCAGCTAGAAACATACTCTCCTCCCTTCCAGTGTGTTTGCAGCACTACAACAGTCTCATAACAAAGCATGAAGTCCTTCCAGTGTTTGCAGCACTACAACAGTCTCATAACAAAGCATGAAGCAGCATAAAAAAAAGAAACAGATTCAGCATTGAAAAAACATGAAAGGAGAATCTATGTAATACACAAAACTATTCATCTAGAAAGACAAATATTTATTAGAACAAGATGTTATAAAGAAAACAGGAAGAAAAAAGAAGTAGGAAATGGAACCAAATAGATCTCACAAGGCAAGCTGTTCCATATAATGGGCATGGTCATTCAGAGAATTCTCTCTCACACCTCAACCCTTCAAGCCTTAGCCATGGAGAGAACATACATTTTGTGCCTGAAGTCTAGTGCAACTGCTGGGTCAATTCCTGGTTATATACCACCACTTCCAAGTTGTAGTAGGACTAGAGTTTGTTTTCCACTCAAGTGTCTTGGAAGCAGAGAAAAAAGATTCCCCTCCCCATCCTTTGAGGGAAGTGGCAACTATGTAAAACTACAAATACTTAGTTGACTACAGTGGTACCTCGACTTGTGTTCGTCCCTACTTGCAAATAATTCGCGTTACGAACGGCTCCATTCACAAAAGCTGCTTCAACCTGCGAACAGAGCCTCGACTTATGAAACCAACAACAACAACAACAAAAACACCTTTCCTGCCCTTTTTTTGACCTAAATTCACCTTAGGTCAAAAGAAGAAGAAAAAAATTAAAAATCGCCCTCTAGTGGTAGAGTACGGATTAACTGGCTTTGCATTAGTTCCTATAGGAACTAATGCCTCTACCTACGAACCGCACATCGACCTACGGAAAATAGCAGGTACAGATTAAATGGTTTTCAATGCATTCCAATGGGAAAGTTTGACTCAACTTACAAACTTTTCAACCTGCGAACTTAATTCCAATACGGATTAAGTTCGCAAATCAAGATACCACTGTATGAATAACTACCAAATTTGTGGGTTCTTGTACACATATATTCCACTTTACTGCCCATTCCATGACTGATAACAGGTAGGCATGGGACAAACCCCAGGCCACATCACAGGATTGAGAGCTATCAAATGGCACCCTTCTTTGCAGCCCCTGAAAAGCACCCAGATGCACCTTTGCAAGTCACAAGGCTTCTCTGCTACTTATAAGGCTGAAACCGGATCCTTTTCAGAGGGTGCAAAGAAGCAGGGCAGGAACAGCGTGAAGGTAAGATGGCTGTTCTGCCATTTGGAGGCTCACAGTCTCATAATTTGGCCTGGTGGTTCCTTTTTCCAAAAATTTCAGTCCTAATAAAAGGTGTGAATAAGAAATGCTTAGTGTGAAGCTCTATTGAGCAAACTGTCTCACAGTCTCAGCCTGAGGATACTGCTGTAATAGTTGGGCTGGCAAAGTAGAACAAGGCATCCCCCCCCCCCAAGTTCTTCTCTTAGTTTTGGATCTAACTGTATACAGGAATTACCTTCTATCTCTACTAGAGGTTCCTGAGTGAAGTCTTGGAAGAATTTGTAGAAAAACTGGCTGCAAGCAGCAAGAACAGCTTTATGAGCTTTAAAATGGTGACCTGGAAGGAAAAGAGAGAACTGGGTATTAAACTTTATGTGAAGGATTTTATGGATTGTGAGAAAGAATTTTTTTTAATACATAGCCTTATTTATTGAGAAGAAAGGGAACAATCTGGTTTCTGTTGTTCCCTAAGATCTTGTGCAACTTACTATTACCAGCATATTATTTCTTAATTGCTGCCAAAACTTTCTGGCAAGGAAGGGTATCTTTCCCACACGTGATATTGCTGATATGTTTTGAAAAAGTATGATGTGTAAGAAAAAGAGAACTGCCCCTTCTCAAGGGGTGAACAACAGAAATTTATTTTTTAATAGCGGCAATCACATTATTACATGGGGGGGGGGTGGTATTCCTCCAGCAATTTTTCAACAGATCTCTTTGAAACTTCAAAAAGAAATTTCATCAGAAAATATGAATTTGAAAACGTTTTCCAAAAGTTGAGACAATATCTCTCTCAAACCTGGAGAAGTTGGTTTTTAACAGAATTTCACAATTTCCCCCATAGGGAACGAGAATATTCATTTGCCACAGAATAAAAATGCTTTAAAAATGTCCCTGTTACAAAAAATGCGAGTAATTCCTATGCAAAAATCTCATTTATTATGGAACAGTTGATCCTCGTGCCCTTTCCCAGCTGCCTTTCCCGCTTTCTAAGCCCTGCAGAGTTTAGAAAATGGCTAATGCAGCCATGAAAGGGCGGTGCGCGTGCACGCACCCATTTGAGCCCGATGCGCTTTCATGGCTGCTTCAGGATCAAAGTGGTGCGAGTGTACTGCCCTTTCACAGCTGCTTTACTCTGTAGCTTCGCAAAAGACAGGAAAAGTGGCTGCCTGCCCTGTATAAGACAACCTTCAATTTTTGGTCCAATTATTTAAGTAAAAAGTCTCGTCTTATACACACACAAAAAAACGGTACTTAGAGAGACATCTGTCTGAGAATATGATAAAAATGCAATAAAATATGAGTCACAAGGGGACTAAAATTCAGAAGCAGATTTACCACAAAGCTTCCTGTTTATCCTGTAGTGTTTTTTCTTTTTTTTTAAACTGTCATTTGTAAACGCTCAACTCACTGAGGAGTAGTTGACACAACAAATGTTTGCTTATAAACATCGTGTTTGAATCTGCATTTCCTCCCAAGGGGATCCTCTACTTTACCTGGAATTTATGTATAATTAAACAATAACTTGTTTGTTTTATACCCTGCCCATATGGTCTTCCGACCACTCTAGGTGGCTTGGTCTTTCATGGTGAACAGAATTTCTTTTGCTCAATGAATTACAAATTTCCATGCAATAACTGGAACATACTAATACTTGGTTGGTATTTCAGGGAGGAAAGAACACATCAAAACTGCAAAAATATAAAGAAGTTTCAAATCAGATTTCACTCAAACTATTGAGGCGTCATTGGTTGAAATCTCACTTGAACCTCTGATTTAATGACACTGACTCATTCTGGGAAACAGTGTATCAAAACGTATTGTGGGGGCAGAAGAGCATAAATACAAAGATGTGTCTCTAGATGGGTTTGAACCGTGGTGGCCGCCCTGACTTCCTTTGCCCCACCTCCTCCAGCAGGCACCCATTCAGAGGCAGCAGCATGAATTCCCAGCCCTACCTGTGCCCACTCAGAGGCAGTGCCTAAAGGATGTGGAGATGGGAAGCTACACCACTGCCTCTGAGCAGATGTCTGCTGGAGGAAGCAGGGCTGTGAACCTGGAGCACCGATGGAACAGCTGTGGAGCCAACCCGCCAAAGTAAAGTTTGTGCCTGTATTTAGATATCAATGATTTGTGCAGCCTGAGCCCATGCATTTTTATTTGAAAACGTCTGCTCAATTCGGTGGGACATTCCTCTTGTCAGGTGCATGTAATTGACATAAAATGCAATCTCCATGTTACGCACGCCAGACTTCTTTGATTTTAGCTACCTAAAAGAGCAATCCTATCAGTGGAGGTTGTCCTACTTTGGGTACATCATGAGAAGGCAAGACACGATGGAAAAGACAATAATGTTGGGAAATGTTGAAAGCAGCAGAAGAAAACAACGAAATATGTGATGGATTGATTCCATCAAGGAAGCCACAGCCTTGAATTTACAGGAGCTGAGCAGAACTGTTGAGAACAGGACATTTTGGAGGTTACTCATTCATAGGTTTGTCATAGGTCAGAGGTGACTTGACAGCATGTAACTACAAATGAAAGAGGAGCAGAAATAAGAGATCTGCAGTACAGTTATAGGGATTTTCTAAGCTCTGCTGATGTTCAGCGATCAGGCAGCAGAACACTACAGGGCATTGTGTATATTCCCAACCCCAACACTTCCAATGCAAGTGCGTTAATTACATCGGTTGCTAATCTGATATGGTTTCTGGCTCTGCTTGAGAAGTATCATGTGAATCTTTGACTACTCTCACCTCCTCTTCCTGACATGGCTGCTCTATTTTTGATCCCACCAGTGGTAGAAGGTGGTTCATATTGTCCTCGGTCAGTTGCACAAAAACACAGGATTGTTGCCTAAATCGTTTTAATTTCAATTCCATTCAACTTCCTTAAATCCAGCAATTTAGGATCAACTATTCTAGTGGACTAGGTACTCAGCTAGTTATGAATGATATATGCAAGAGATCCAACTCGCATCATTTACATACCATCCACAATCAGAGTGATGTCTGTGAACTGTTCCTGCTCCCGCTGTTCATTCAGTCTATCCAAGATTACTTTGTAATGTTCTGGAAATTCCTGAATACATTCCATCGTCTCTTCAGCTTCCATGGCTAACTGGTTTGCCTAAGAGAGATCATGAACCAGAGTGAGAATTTAATTAATGCCAGCAGCTAGCATGGATATGTTATCAACAAATCACAGGAATAAATAATATATTACATTCACCATATTTGAATATTTTTCTCTCTAGAAACCTATAGATGAAGAAAAAGTTGTGAGCCAAAAACACCACTTAAAAATATTTGGGGATAATATGAAGCCCATGAAATGAACATTCAAGGGGAAGACAGAGAATGTTTGTTCTATTAGAATCAAAGAAACCCAGAAGTCATATGGAAAGAAGGAATAGGATATGAAAGTGGGGGAAGGGGACCATCCAAGATCTGTATTTTCTATTTTCTTTTACAGAAGTAGTTTGTTTTCCGTTTGTTTGCCTTAGAAACACACCTGACTCAGCATCTGCATTTCATCACTTGTCAGGTTTTCTTGTACACAACAGAGCCAGCTAGTCTTCATCTTTCTGAAGGGAGAAACTTGGGAAAACTAAAGTGAGGTCATTTTTTATTTATCTGTTTCACAATATACATGTACAGCAAAAAAATTACTTTTTATTTTTGCTATATAGAGACTTACGTGGTTACCTCAATGAAAATTGAGTCATAATATATTTGTATTATCTGTATTAATAGCAAGGGAATGAAGGAATAGAAAGAACCAACACACTAAGCATTTTGGGTTTAGGTAGTCACTCTAGTTAATGGGACATAGTGGCGCTGCAAGTTAAACCGCAGAAGCCTCTGTGCTGCAAGGACAGAAGACCAGCAGTCATAAGATTGAATCCACGTGACGGAGTGAGCTTCCGTCACTTGTCCCAGCTCCTGCTAACCTAGCAGTAGGAAAGCATGTAAATGTGAGTACATAAATAGGTACCACCACGGTGCTCCATGTCTAGTCGCGCTGGCCACGTGACCACAGAAACTGTCTACGGACAAACGCTGGCTCTATGGCTTAGAAACAGTGATGAGCACCATGCCCTAGAGTTGGACACAACTGAACTAAATGTTAAGGAGTACCTTTACCTTAGTCACTCTAGTCCAGATGGTAGCTGAACAAGCAATCAAAATTGCAAGTTGCAGGTAGGTATCCATTAAGAAGGCAGCTGGCTGACTGCACAGCTAGCTCCATAGACAATTACTTTTCTCTCATACACACTCAAACTGCATGCCACAAGGGAGTACAGGCCAGTGGTAGGAAATCTCCATTGATCCTTTGCTCTGCTCTGGGACTCAAGAAAGAATACATGAGATTTCCAGGCAGATTCCTATTCTGATACGGACCAGCCCCAAATCTACTTGGCTTCAGCAAAGGGGCTGTATTACCTTCCATCAAATTAACTGCCGGGGCCATCAAAGGGATACAAGCACACAAAGGCTTAAGAGCCGTTACTTCAGATAAAAACTAGTTAGCCATGATTTCCCCCTGAGTTTTGTTTAAAGCCAAAACTATGTGAAACTTTAAAGTTTCCTGGGGACCAACTTTAACAGCTCCCAGGCAACAAGTTTTATTTTTTTTTTTTTTCGGTCATGGCCAAAGTAAGTATAGTGCACAAACTCATGCTTTTGTGATTTCATCCATCTGACTATGCCCTCTAGTTTTGGGGGGAAAATATAAAACATACAAAGTTTAAGAATGGCATGGCTAGAACCCTATGCAGGATTACCTGTGCACCCCATTGGCTAACATCAAGTAAAAAGTCACAATTAGAGTATGCCCACTGAACCAATGAACTTGCAGAGCAGAATCACCACAGATTCAACAGGCCTGCTCTAGTTGTGATTTACTAGATTTCAGCCACTGAATACAGTAACACATAACTCTCAATTAACAAGAATACAACTAGGCAGCAAGTTGTTAGGTGATCCTGAACTGTACCCTAAAGCAATCTAAAGAAGTGACCGTATGTAAGGTGTTGGCAGCCTCTTGGGCCTTTTCTGATAGTCTGACACACACACACCCACACACAAAAGGAGATGTTACAGGCAACGTATCTGTACACTTGCATAGAATAATTCCGTTCTGCAACTATGCATTTGCTTTGTTTTTGGAAACATCTGCCAAAATTTCCTTTGATGCGCCCAGGTAATATTCTTTTCACCCAGTGCAATGCCGGAAAAGTTCAGCACAGCCTGTATCGCTTGCACTTAACGGCAGCTTTTAACAACTACTGTCCTTCCTATTTCTGTGCACAAATGCCCTTTTCTTGCTGCAAAACTGCCATCCTGTGATGATGCTGGACTCAGGTCTACCTATGCGTCCTTAAAAGTCTACTGGACTTTTAAGAGGATGCCTCACAGGCGCTCTTGGCTTCTCTCCCGCGCTCTCTGGCGACAGGGGCCCAAAGAGGGGCAGCTCTGGAGCCAGATCACCCCCTACCCTCCCACCAACCCCCACGAAATTCACGTGCCCTCAGGATCCAGAACCCTCTCTCCCTCAGCGAGTTCCAGAGCCTCCCATCCCATTGGGGCCGCCCCCATCAATCATTTCCACACCAGCCAATTGTAAGCCACAAAAGAAGAGAAGGGGGCCAATGGACACTCAAAGCAGGCGAAGCGGAAGGCCTAAACGCTGAGGGGCGCCGATAAGCGAAAGGGTCTATAGAACGGGGGGGAAAAAGACGGAGCGGGAGTCCGGCCCGGCCCGGCCCGGCGCGAACGGAAAGACGCCATGAAAGCCGGCGCATGGACCCAACGCAATTCCAGCGGCGGCCTCGTCTCCAGAGCCGTTATTACGTCATCAAATCGCGCATTAAATCGATCCCCTTTTCGACGTCCGCTTCGGCCGGAAAAGCGCGCTGACTCCGAGAAAACCAGGCCGTTCCGTAAAGCACTCACCAGGAGAAGCCGCTTGCCCCGCCAAGCTTTCTCGGCCGCTGCTATCGCTTCCTGCCCGCCTCGCTCGCCGAAAAGCGGGGCAGGCGCCGGCCAATAGCACTACTCGCATTCCCGTCGTGCACCGCGAATACCGGAAGTCAGGGAACTCGTTGACCTCCTTTACCTGCTAGGGCGCTCTCGGGAAACTGGTGGAGCCGAGTGCATGCTGGGAATTTTCAGTCCGGGCCACCTTTTATGCTTGAGGCCGCGCGGTGCATGCTGGGTGGCCTCTTCTCCCACCCTTTCTCTTTTGTCTTGCTAAACAGTTAAAACAAACGGGCTATTCTTTGGAAGGGTTGTCTTCTGTGTTTGAGGAATGCATATTAATACAGATGTTAAGTTTTATATTCATGCTAGTGCGTGCAGAGGAAGCCGCATGCAAGTTCTTTAATTTTGTTTCACATCATTCACTATATATCAAGGTCTTGCAAATTAAAAAAATGAGAAGTAGAAAGGGCTTAAGAAGGGACGTGACATGGAAAAGCTGCCTCCCACAGGAGGCCAAACTGGGCCCATCTTTGCTGTCCTTCTGCAAGCAAGTGGCTTTTCCTTAGTGATGGGCTATCTAGACGACGATAAATAGGGTGGTTTATATTTTGATGCTTCTAAATTTTTTTTTTTTGCTAATGCTTTTACATAACATTCTAAATATAATTTTACTAAGTGTTTAATACTAATAATTCTTTTCAGTTTTTTAAACAGTGTTTTTAATTATACGAGCTGCCTTGGGTCCTTTTTTAGGAGAAAAGGACTAAAAATATTTTAAATAAATAAAAGCTGTATTAAATTCTGTTGGGAAAGTATGTGTGTGGGGGTCTTGCATTTTTATAAACATATAATTAGATTTCTTGTGAAGTCCTCTTTATTAGGAAAAAAATGAGTTATTTTTCTAGATGTATTCCTTCTTTAAAACATTCATTTTTCATAAAATATTGATCTTATGATGGATATTCTTTCCTAGTCTTTATTGTTTTTAGTTCTGTATTTTTATATGTTTCGTATTTTCCCATTTTATTTATCAGGCAGTCTATAGTTGTACTGTTAGTGCATCATACCTACTGCTCCCCAATGGAGTGTGCTTTGTCCTTCACAAGGCATTGTGAAGCAACTTAAAAGTAAAAAAATGTTTTTAAAAGACAAATACATGTAATTCATGCATCTAGAAATACTTACATAGTCCGCTGGGCAGTAGATAGGTCACAATATCTACTGATTATGAGAGGTACATAAAATCTCAAAACGCATGAGATACCTCATTGGTGATTGGATTGAGATTAACAGACTAAATTCATATTCTTTATTAAAGAGCTGTTCTGGATCAGTTAAAAAACCTATCTGTATCTTAGGTATCCTCCTCCTACTTAATCCATCAAAAGTGTTTCTTAGGTTTATCTCAGTGTGTAATTTCACATGTGTTCTGTAGTCACCAGTTTAAGAAAGAATAGGGCACCAAGAAAGTTGCTATTTCAGCAAAGCTTAGGGAGTTTACTGTATGTAGGAGCTCAGGTTTCCACACTCTCCTGGGTCTAAGCCAAGCCCTGATCAAAACAGGTGCTTCCATGATCTGTGTACCTGTGTGGGCACTTATTTCGCTGGCCATCTTGAAGCTCTTGTCTCAGTCACCATATTCACTGCTCCTGTTGTGTTGAGAATAAGTGGGGGAAGGACCTGAGAGCCAGCCAGGATTCAAGAAAACTATTGTGAGACTTCAGTTCCTGAGCTGGGCTCACAGCTTGTCAGGGTTACTGGTAGTGTGGATAATATTTAATTAGATATTCAAGATCTGGATAGGGTAGAATACTGACAGCGTGGCATCAAAACTGATAAAAGCAAGGTGAATAAAATTATTATTTTAAGAATCAAATTGATTTAAATCACAATTTAAATAATAAATTATTTTTTAAAATTTGAATAATCAAAAAATAAATTTAAAATTGTGATTTGGTTTAAATCAATTCCACCCTGGATAAAAGTGCCACTTCACATTTCAGTTTCGAAAGTGAACCAATAATTCCTTTTACAACCCACAAACATATTTCCTTCCAAATAAGACAGATATTTTTATCAGACCTTAAATTATTGGTTATTGTTGGGTGAAAAATGTGCTTCTTTGAAATATATTCAGTCAAATTCTTCAAAAGGTTTTCTTGTCCTTCAGCTTGTCACCCAGGTGCAGTGAACCAACTTAATTACAACAGCACATTTATTTTCCAGGTTGGAAGCATACTTTTTACCTCCATGTCAAAAAACATTTGCTCTGTCATTTCCATTTCTTTCCAGTCACGAGATGAGCTTTCCCCTTTCTAGGTCAAAGTCCCACTGAACAACTTGCTTAATGTGAGACAGGAACACTCTGTAACTTATCCAGTAGTTTGGATGAAATGTAAACTCAAGCACAACAAATGCCATAAATATTTGCCAGGGCTCAAGCTGTGCTGTGGTACAGTATTTTGTTTTCAGGGAGCCCCTTCAAGGGTCTAAATGACTTCATTTTATTCATTCCGGTGCATATTGATCAATTTTGTTTGCTTTTTAAACACCTGACAGACAAATTTTAACATCTAATCCTGGAATATGTGTTTTATTTTCCAACTCGTGCTTCTTGAAATCAGCTGAAGTAAAGCCCAGGGCTAGATAGTCCTGAGCCTTTGTTGTCAATCAGGTAGGGCAGAAGACCTGGCAAATGAGGAAACATAACAGTGCTCAGCAATCAAGAGGATTAAAGCTGCACATCTCTCTGGTCTCAAATACCTTTTGAAACACCTTACATTTATGTAAAATAGAGATAGGCATTCAGAGGTTTGTACACACCGCACACCACAGGTATTGCGCGTTCCCTTCCCCCGCCTCCCTGTCTGTATCCCCCACTCACCAGCTGGCATGTGTTCCTCTCCTCCACAGCTACTTGACCCGTCTCCGGCACAAGCATGAGCTTCTCTTCCCTGCCTCCTTGGCTGATTGCCTAGTCAGACAAGGAGGCAGGACAGGCAAACCTGTGCTCCTTCTGGGGACTGGTAAAACAGCTGAAGAGGAGAAGGAAAGAAGTGGGCTTCAACTGGTAAGTGGGTCAGTGACACCCGTGATGCCATGTTGGGCTTCAACTGGTGAGTGGGTCAGTGACACCCGTGATGCCATGTGTACAAAAAGATGTGAAGCTCTGAACCAAGGTTCATGCCCATCTCTGATGAAAATTCCCATTTCTTATTCATGCCAAGTAGCAGAGCTTGGTAAAGTTATTGGACTACAATACCCAAGCCAGCATGGCCACTGAGTTGCTCCAGATAAATTGAAAATGTGGGACCCTAGCCCATTTAAAACTTTCTTTGAAATTTCTCTTTTTGTCAATAAAAACTGAATCATGCTTCGTCTAGGGCAATGGTCCCCAACCTTTTTGCCTCCATGGATCGATTTAGCGGGCGGGCGGGAGAGAGGCCGTGTGGGTGTGGGAAGGGTGTGCATGCATCTGCACGTGGGGCGGGGGCAGGAGATTTGTCTCCGCAGCCCAAATCCTGGCAAGGCCACAGACTGGGACCGGTCTTCGGATGAGGGGTTGGCGAACCCTGCTCTAGGGAATCCCTGATTCACAACAAGCCAGATTCACTACCACAATAAAACGTAAGCATTTTTTTTTACTGATTATAATACATTTGCCTTCTCATTCGGATTATAAGGTAGATTAACTCTACATAGAATGGCAGGCAATGACCTGTGCAAAAAGGCTGTGAATCTTGATTCGTTCTCTAAAAACTATGTGATGACAGATGCATCATTACATTGACCTCTTGCAGGCAGCCAAAGTGTTTGTCCGGTCATCGTGCCTCCGTATTAACCTGAAATTCAAATCTTTTGGAAAGTCCTCACAGTCCCGCTGGGTTAAAAACACGTGTCCAGAACAGCTGTGAATTCCTCCAGGACAGGAATAAGTCCAGTAACTACTGTGGATCTTGAAGTACCCTTAGTCGCTCTGCTTTTGAAGAGTTGCTGAGCACTCTTCCCTAGATTCCCTAGTTCTTGTGTTTTATTGTTTTATCCTATACATAACTACATACTGTGGATCTTGAAGTACCCTGAGTCTTTCAGCTCTGTTTTTGAAGAGTTGCTGAACACTCTTCCCTAGATAGTTTCTTATTTCTCAAGAGTCCCTTAAATCTGTTTCAGGTATGCAGAACAGAGGGCTAAACGGTGGGTAACAATCTTGGATCTTTCCTTTTGTGGACAGAAGTCTTAGCCGTGAGAAAAGGGCATAGGTTAGTCCCTGGTTATCCCAGGGCCAGCCCTACTATTAGACAGAGCAAGGCAGTCACCTCTAGCAGCAGATGATGAGAGTGGTGTCAGCCTTCCAGCTGGTCCACCTGAGTTCTTTGGGCTGTTCCCCCAATTTCCCAACTGTTCCCCCTCCTCATAAGGGACAGGAATCAGAAAGGAAAGGCATGTAAAAGAATAACAAAGCCAAGAAAGAAGAACGTCTCAAACACTGCCTGTTCTGTCTCTGAGAGTACAGTATGTGTTTAGGGGGAGGGGATGCTTTTTCAGGGACGTGTATATAAACAAAACTGACAAAGACCTGCATCCACAAGCACTACAATACGTGGAAATTGCCTTTGAAGTGGTCAGCTACATCAGTGTTCTTATTCTCTCAGACCTTATTATAATACACAAACTTCACATTTTAACCCGGATAATAATGAGAGCCATGTCTCTTTATTTGTGCTCTAATGGGGCAACCCTCAATAAATCCAAGTGATATTGGCCAAAATCCTGTTGCCTAAGACACGTGGTGTACTTTGTGAGTTGCCTTGGTTAAGAAATCATTGTAGACATTATCTGTATGCCACAGTTTAAGCCTATCATGGTTTCTTGACTTGAAACAATGCACCAAGTCATGCAACACAGTATGCCACAGTTTATGCCTATCATGGTTTCTTGACTTGAAACAATATGCCTCCAAAAGTTACCCAGACATTTGTAGATTTCTTGGCGCATCTGGCGTAATTTTGGCCTCTACTTTTTTTAAAATGACCTCAAAGAAGGGCTATTAACATTACAAAATATAACAGATTAAAATAAAATGCAGACATATTTTGAGAATGTGCTCTCTAAAGTTGGCGCAACTGGCATAATTTTGGCCTCTACTTCTTTTTAATTACCTCAAAGAAGGGCTATGCTATTAACATTCCAAAATATATCAGATTAAAA